CCTCGGACTGCCCACGTTGCCCAGACCGCTCCACCTCCACAGGCTGCTACTCCGACTGATTCTGCCACCTCACCTGCTATCTTTAACGACTTTATCAAGTGGTATGAGGAGCGTCAGGCCGCTAGTTCCACTGCATCTGTTGCGCACACGGGTAATTCTTTTGCTGGTCTTTCTCACTCCACATCTCTTGGCCCATGGATCCTTGATTCAGGCGCCACTGATCACATTACTGGTAATAAATCTCTTTTTTCTTCATTCTCTACTTCTGGTTTATTACCCTTTGTCACATTAGCAAATGGCTCCCAAACTCAATCTCAGGGTACTGGTACTATCCACCTTTTTCCCTCGCTCTCCATTACTAATGTTCTTTATGTACCCGGATCTCCGTTTAACTTATTGTCTCTAAGTCGTTTGACTCGATCTCTTGATTGTACTATCTCATTCACCAAAGATTCTTTTTTCTTGCAGGACCGGAGTTCGAGACGGATGATTGGCACCGGATGTGAGTCTAATGGTCTTTATCTTCTTCAACCATCTGCACATGTTGGTTCCGTGGTGGATTCTCCCCTCCTGGTTCATGCTCAGTTAGGACATCCAAGTCTTGCAAAGTTACAAAAGTTGGTGCCCAACCTTTCCAAGTTATCTACGTTATCTTGCGAGTCTTGTCAATTAGGAAAACATGTTCGTAGTTCTTTTCCGAGTCGTGTCAATCGTCGTTCTAAGTCTCCGTTTGCTCTAGTTCATTCGGATGTTTGGGGTCCTAGTCGCATTGTTTCCACTTTAGGGTCTAAGTATTTTGTTACCTTCATTGATGATTATTCTCGATGTACCTGGTTATTTTTAATGAAAAATCGATCGGAGTTATTTGCTATTTTTCAAACATTTTATAATGAAATCAAAAATCAGTTTGGTATATCCATTAGTACTTTGCACAGTGACAATGCTCGAGAATATTTATCTACTCAATTTCAAACTTTTATGGCTACTAACGGTATGCTTCATCAAACGTCTTGTGCTCACACACCACAACAAAACGGAGTCGCTGAACGTAAAAATAGACACCTAGTTGAAACCACTAGGACACTCTTACTTCACAATAATGTTCCTCAACATTTTTGGGGTGATGCTGTCCTTACGGCTTGTTATCTCATAAATAGGATGCCATCATCTGTCCTCAACAACCAGATCCCTCACTCTATTCTATTTCCTCACCAGTCTCTTCACCCATTACAGCCTAGAGTCTTTGGGTCTACATGTTTTGTCCATAATGTTAGTCCCGGGCTAGACAAACTCTCAGCTCGTTCTCATAAGTGTGTGTTCTTAGGCTATACAAGATCTCAAAAGGGATATAAGTGTTACTCCTCGTCTCTTCGTCGATATTTCGTCTCTGCTGATGTCACATTCTTTGAGTCAGTCCCTTACTTTGGGACGTCTACAGGGTCTGAGTCCCTATCACCCATGTTTTCTTCATCTCCCACTACTGCCCCACCAAATGTAGTTCTGACTCCTTTACCAGCCAATCCACCCCCATTAGCTCCTTTGCAGGTTTATCGGCGTCGACCACGACCACCTCCACTACCATCAACTAATGCAGAAATCACCATAGACTCCCCTCCGGATCCAACTCCTTCGTCCCCTCCGGTCCTGCCCCCTGAGACTGATCTCCCAATTGCACTTCGCAAAGGTATACGTTCCACTCGTAATCCATCTCCTCATTATGTTAATTTGTCTTATCATCGCTTGTCTTCTTTGCATTATGCTTGTATTTCCTCTTTGTCTTCTGTGTCTATTCCCAAGACTGTAGGTGATGCTTTATCTCACCCTGGCTGGAAACAAGCTATGCTTGATGAGATGTGTGCTCTTCAGAACAGTGGCACGTGGGACCTTGTTCCTCTTCCTCTTGGAAAATCTGTTGTAGGTTGCAGGTGGGTTTTCACAGTCAAAGTTGGGCCTGATGGACAAGTTGATCGTCTCAAGGCACGTTTAGTGGCCAAAGGTTATACACAGTTGTTTGGCCTAGATTATGGTGACACCTTCTCTCCCGTGGCTAAAATGGCCTCGGTTCGATTATTTCTCTCTATGGCAGCTATTCGCCACTGGCCCCTTTACCAGCTTGACATCAAGAACGCATTCCTCCATGGTGATTTGTGTGAGGAAGTTTATATGGAGCAACCTCCTGGGTTTGTTGCTCAGGGGGAGTCTTCTGGACTAGTTTGTCGTCTTCATAAGTCTTTGTATGGACTTAAGCAATCTCCTAGGGCTTGGTTTGAGAGATTTAGCACTGTTATTCAAGAGTTTGGTATGACGCGATGTGAAGCTGATCATTCAGTGTTTTATCGTCACTCAGTTGTTGGGTGTATTTACTTAATTGTGTATGTGGACGACATTGTCATTACAGGTAATGATCATCATGGAATCACACAGGTAAAACAACACCTTTGTCATCATTTCCAGACAAAAGACCTCGGCAGACTTCGTTATTTCTTGGGCATAGAGATTGCCCAATCCAAACAGGGAATTGTGATTTCACAAAGGAAGTATGCTATGGATATTTTGGAGGAGACATGTCTGTTAAATTCCAAGCCAGTTGACACTCCGATGGATCCCAATGCTAAACTTATGCCAGCTCAGGGGGAGCCACTCTCCGATCCTGGAAAATATAGAAGATTAGTTGGAAAACTGAATTACCTCACTGTTACTCGCCCAGATATTTCATTTCCTGTTAGTGTGGTAAGTCAATTTCTTAACTCTCCTTGTGAAGGGCATTGGGAAGCTGTGATTCGCATCTTGAAATATATTAAAGGAGCTCCAGGAAAAGGCTTACTCTATGAAGACAAGGGACACACTCGAGTTGTAGGATACTCAGATGCAGATTGGGCAGGTTCTCCTTTTGATAGGAGATCCACCTCAGGTTATTGTGTTTTCTTGGGTGGTAACTTAATTTCCTGGAAGAGTAAGAAACAAAGTGTAGTGGCAAGGTCAAGTGCGGAAGCAGAATATCGAGCCATGGCAACAACAACCTGTGAGCTTGTATGGCTTAAACAATTGCTTCACGACCTGAGATTCGGGGATGTTTCACAAATGACACTTATTTGTGACAATCAGGCAGCTCTGCATATTGCATCAAATCCAGTGTTCCATGAGAGAACCAAACACATTGAGATTGATTGTCATTTCATCAGAGAGAAGATTTTATCTAGAGATGTCAGCACTAGTTTTGTCAATTCAAATGATCAGTTAGCTGACGTTTTCACTAAGCCTTTGAGAGGTCCTCGAATTAATTATATTTGTAACAAGCTTGGTGCATATGATATATATGCTCCAGCTTGAGGGGGAGTGTTAGATATCAGAATATTCCATATTATGTAAATAGAATATTCTGTAAGTAATTAGGATATCATGTAAATAGGAAATAAAATATTATGGAATTATTATAGAATATTATGTAATTACTATGGCATTTATGCCTCCTATTATATATAATGAGCTCCGATGTGTAATTCAAACACACGGATTCAATCCAACCTTCCTCTTGTTCTCTCATTATTCAACAGTAACTTCAAGACATGATATTCAATTTGTGTAGTGAGTAGCATTTGAAGTATGATCATCTTGCTTTTTCTAAACTGAAGCATATTGTTTTGTGCAGCAAATCATTTGCTGAAACTCTTAAAAGATTAGGAGTCAAAGCTGAATCAATTTTATATGAAGGAAAGACTCATACAGATGTGTTTCTACAGGTAACTAAAACAACTTAAATATATTCCAAAGACCTAGGTCCTGTTTTGGATAAACATATCAGTTAAATGCTTATGCTGTAAGCACTATTCATATTTTCATGTATAGAGTGAGTTAAGAATATAAATATATTCAGATTTATTCACAAGTCTGCACAAGAATCAACTCATGTAATACTGATAGATGGTTTGGAATCAAATGTGCTGGGATGCTTATATCAAATGTCTATGCCTTTTTCAGGATCCTATGAGGGGTGGAAAAGATGATATGTTTGATGATTTAGTAGCATATATTCATGCTGGCGATCCTGAGGCTCTTTCCAGAGATGCAACGGCTCCTCCAAGAAGAAGACTTGTACCAGAATTCATGTTAAAGTTGGCTCATTCTGTCAGTCCTTTCTAGCCAACTAACAGAATCAATTCATAGTCAAACTAGTTTTATTCTTTTTTGCCTTGTATATAACTGTAAAAAAAGGTTTATTTGAATAGATTTTTTTAATCTATTAGTCTTTATTTAATAAGTCCATACAATAAAATTAAACTAATTAAATATAAAATAAAACAAACTAAAGATAAAATAAAACTAACTATTTACATTATCAATCATTTCAAACTTATAAATAAGTTGATTGAACTTTTCTTTAATGAAATGTCGTTCGATCTCAATGTATTTTGTCATGTGATGTTGAACAAAGTTATATGAAATATGATGTCTGATTTGTTGTCACAAAAGAATTCCATCTTTTAGATGTATTTTTAAATCTTCTAATTCTTGTTTCATCTCAAATTCTCTTAATAGTTTCTCCTATATCATTGGTCCTTAGTCAAATCATTTCTTGAAATAATAATATTCTTCCTTGTATAAATGTCTAAAGAAGAAAGGGTGGTCTTTAACTTTTTTTTTTTTTTTTAATAATGCAAGAACACCTTTGCTTTTTGTGAAACTTCCCAAAGCGTAATCTAGTTGGCTTAATGTCTATTATTGTGGCTTGCTAGAATACTTATTAACTTGTTAGGTTTACAAGAGTCTCCATTAGTATTTGAGGATTCAACATTTCACACTACCTAACAGTAACGTTGATTTCATGGGGAATAGATTCTCTCAATTGTGATTTTCATTGGAGAGGGAGAAGTGGAGATCTCCACCTTTAAAATTTTCTACTTCCTTAACTTATGTAATTTTATAGGGTCAAGATTTCACTGGATAATCATTTCATGGGAGACAATCCTTCCTGATTTCATGTTATAAAAATATAACAATAACTAAAAGCTTTGATTTGAAGAGGCTGAACAAAATGAAAAGCAGCCCCAGCTGTTCAGAAAGCAAATCCAATGAAAGAGAACGAAAGAGAGACTGTGCCTAGTTGCTGATTTTGCCGCGAAGAAACTATGCACGGCGGCGGTATTGCCACTCTCAAATCTGATAGCGACAGCGAGGGGAGTGGCTATGGCAAAGGCGGCAGCCGGTAATGACGGTGGCGTGGAGGAGGGATCCAGATAGGTGAGGACAGGAGTGCTAGTTGAAGGTAAAGGATGAACTTGATTTTGATTTAATTATTTCCTTTTTTATTTGTTTGTTATTATTTGTTGTTTATATTCAATAATACAATTTTTTATTTTGACGTGACATGATAATAAGTCAGTCTGATATGAACTTTTAAAAAGTAATTTTAAAATATTTTTTTATTATTTTAAATAAAAGTAATTTTTATAAGAATATAAAATAAATAAAATTTAGTATTAAACTTAACTATGCTTGAAAATGTTATTAGTGTCTTGGAAATTAAATTGACTAAGTTAATAAGAAGTTGACTGACACATCGAGAGTTCTTTGAACTTTTGAGGCTTATTCTAACTCTGATGAGTGGTGAGTTCCAGAAACTCAACTCATTTACTTCAAAAAAAAATTGATTTTTAATAATTATATTTATACTCCAATAATAATTGCCTGATTATCCTTGGTCCATTTCTATGAGTTTTCTTGGAAGGTGCATTTTTCAAATTGGGATACTTTGTTTTAGAATTTGTTTGTTTATTTAAAAACCATTAATCAAATATTTATTGGTAAATTGCTTAGCAAGTGTTCACCAAACTTATTTTAATATCTTCCTATTTCCTTGCAAGTGCTGTGTGGAACACTTTTCTCTCTCTTTCTCATCCCTTGTAAACTTCATCCTGCCATCATAAACTGAAATTATTTTTCTTTCTTTCTCATACTTCTAAACCTTTTCTTAATTAGGAGATCTCATTCTCAGTTTCTTTCCACTCTCTCTCAATCAGGTAATACCTCTCTTTCATTAGGAAATTCTATATCTTTTTTTTTTCTACTTCATATTTCATATATCTATTGTCTCCTGTTTTCTTAATTTTACACTAATATTTATATTTATTTTCAGCTTCTCTTTCATTGGGAGATCATAATTTCAGTTTGTTACTCACTGGTAATATCTTTTTTTCTTTGTCAATGTTTTTTCACTTTCTTTTAGTGAATAATTTTCTACTTTTATTTTGATCTACAATCAAGCATAATTTTAAATTAATTGATTTTTATAGCTTTTAGTTAAAAGTATATTTTTACTCAATTGTTAATTGAGTTAAACATGAAATAATTTATAGTTTGATATATTTATGTAAAAATATGCCATACATTAAATTTGAGACTATAAAATCATAATTTTGAGGCAGAAGCTCCAAATCCGCATAGAATTACTCCTAAACAAAATTAGTCTCTTCCGAAAATATTACTCCAAAAATTATATGTTCATCCAGCACATTATATAAAATTTAAGCAAAAGTTATCTTTTATTAATAATATGAGATAGAAAAATGAAAAGAATTGAAAAAAATATAACTTTTTTTTTCTCCTCTCAAGATTTCAGGTTTGAATCCAGCTAGACACAAATTGCTTATTAAAAAAAATAATATAACTTTTAGGATATCTTGATAAATTGAAAGGTTTCATTATAATTGCTTTCTTATCTAATAAATTATTGCTGAAAAGCTCTCGTTATTATGCATCACGCTAATCTCAAATCATTTATTTTTGTGTTACAGAAAAGTCATGGCAGAGCATGTTGCTGGAGCATTTGTTTCGTCTTTCTTTGAAATGGTTTTTGATAGGTTAGTTTCAAGCAATTTCACAGACATTTTCGTAGAGGCAAACTTGACAAGTTGGTGGAGGAACTTGAGTCAACGCTCGAGTCTATCAACCAAGTGTTGGATGGTGCAGAGAAAAAGCAATACCAAATCCTAAATGTCAAGATGTGGCTTGGTGATGTTAGACATGCTATGTATGAGGCAGACCAACTCCTGGATGAGATTTCTACTGAAGCTTCGATGAAGAAGTTGAAAGTATAATCTCAACCTAGTACTAGCAACAACTTTTTTGGCTATGTTTCAACTTTTATTAATCCATTTGAATCAAGGATCAAAGAATTGTTGAGGAATCTAAGGCATTTTGCAGAGAAAAAGGATGTGTTGGAGTTGAAAAATGAAGGTTCTGCTCATAATGAAGTTAGAGCCGGTTCAAAACCTTTAGAAAGATGGCCAACTTCATTTTTTTTGGATGCATCGGAAATATATGGTAGAGACGGTGATAAATATAAAATGATCAAAATTTTACTTTCAAATGATGGCAGTGGCAACAAGACACCTGTAACCAGCATAGTGGGTATGGGCGGAATAGGTAAGACCACCTTTGCTAAGCTTGTGTACAATGATAGTAAGATTGAGGATCATTTTGAACTTAGAGCATGGGTTTATGTTTCAGAATCTTTTGATGTTGTTGAACTCACCAAAGCAATTTTCAAATCATTTAATTCTTCAGCAGATGATGAATCTATTTTCAATTTACTCCAACAGAGACTGCATCACATACTAACAGGCAAGAAATACTTGCTTGTTTTAGACGATATCTGGAACGGGAATGTGAAATTTTGGGAACAATTACTACTTCCCTTTAACCATGGATCTTCTGGAAGTAAGATTATTGTGACAACGCGTGACAAAGAGGTAACAAATGTCCTGAAATCCACCAGATTATTTGATTTACGGCAATTGGGCAAAAGTGATTGTTGGAGTTTGTTTGTGACACATGCATTTCACGGCAAGAGTGCGTCTGAATATCCAAATCTTGAATCAATTGGAAAGAAAGTAGTGGACAAGTGTGGAGGGTTGCCTTTGGCTATAAAAACATTGCGAAAAAAATTCTCTGAACTTGAATGGATGAAGATACTGGAGACTGATATGTGGCGTTTATCAGATGAAGACATCAACATTAACCCAGTGTTGAGATTGAGTTACCATAATCTCCCTTCCAATCAAAAGCGTTGTTTTGCTTATTGTTCTATATTTCCCAAAGGTTATTGGTTTGGCAAAGATGAATTAATCATGTTTTGGACGGCAGAAGGTTTGCTGAAGTGTAACAGAACAGACAAAAGTGAAGAAGAGTTAGGTAATGAAATTTTTGGTGATCTTGAATCAATTTCATTTTTCCAACCATCATCTCATCCTAAACGTGTTGGGTTGTTGGAAGCCATCCTTGAAAGGAGAAGAAGGTTTAAGAGATATCAACACAAATTAGTCATGCACAATCTTGTCAATGATTTAGCAAAATCAGTGTCAGGAGAATTTTCTATGCAAATAGAAGGTGCTAGGGTGGAAGGAATCCATGAAAGGATATGTCACATTTGTTGCTCTTCTCAATTAATTTGCGTTGATGAATTAATAAAGCCAATTTGTGAGCATAAGGGACTACATAGTCTGATTCTAGAAGGCAGTACGTTGATAAACAATGTGCAACGTGATTTGTTTTCAAGACTAAAATGGTTGCGGATGCTGTCATTTCGATATTGTGACCTCTCAGAGCTAGTTGACGAGATAAGCAATTTAAAGCTTTTGCGTTATCTAGAACTTTCTTAACACTCAGATTACAAGATTACCAGATACCATTTGTATATTGTATAATTTGCAAAACACTCTTGTTGCGAGACTGTTGTAAATTGACTGAGCTCCCTTCAAAATTTTCTGAACTCATCCATTTACGACATCTTGAACTCCCCTTTTTTCATGAGCTCCCCTGTATAAAGAAGATGCCAAAGCATATGGGAAATTTAAACAATCTTCAGGCCTTGCCTTATTTAATGTGGAAGAGCAGAATGGATCTGATCTTAAGGAGTTGGCTAAACTAAACAATCTTTATGGAAAAATTCATATTAAAGGGTTGGGTAATGTCATTGATCCTGCAGGTGCTGCAACAGCAATTTTGAAAAACAAGAAGTATTTAGAAGAAACACGGATGACATTCGATGGCAAAAGAGAAGCAATGGATGGCTCAATAGTTGAAAGAAATGCGTCAGTCTTGGAGACTCTTCAACCAAATAGAAACTTGAAAAGGCTCACCATTGAGTACTACAAAGGCATTATGTTTTCAAATTGGCTAAATGGCAGCAATTTACCCAACTTAATATCTCTTAAATTGCAGAGCTGTGGATTATGTTCCCATTTTCCACCACTTGGGCAGCTCCCCTTTCTCAAAGAGCTTTCTATTAGCTGCTGCTATGGAATAAAAATAATTGGTGAAGAGTTTTATGACAATAATTCAACAAATGTTTCGTTCAAGTCTCTTGAAGTTTTGGAATTTTCAGAAATGCTTGAATGGGAGGAATGGTCTTGCCTCGAAGGATTTCCTTTGCTTAAAAATCTTTCTATAAGAAGATGTCCCAAATTGAAAAATGCTCTGCCTCAACATCTTCCTTCTTTACAAAAATTGGAGATTTTTAATTGCCAAGAGTTGGAGGTGTCAATTTCCAAGAGTTAGAGCTAAAAGTATAATTGTTTCTTACTAAATATTCTCATACTAGGTAGTGATAATAGAAAATGTCTTTATCATATTGGTGTTCATTTTCATTTGGTCTTAACAGTGAGACTAATAGCTATATTCTCATCAATGTAAAATGAATGTGTTGTGTAATACACACCTTTGATGTGTAAAACTGTTGCAAACAAATTATTAGGTATATCCTTTACTAATTTGCATCTACCCATTCACGTCATTGACCGTGTTCTGTGATATGGTTTACAAAGCACATTATTAGTATTATTCTATTGATCAACTTTGTAATGAATAATCTTATGTTTATTTTTTGCAGCTTCAAAAGAATTACAAAAGTTCTTGCATCTGACAATTCTTACTCATTCTCTTAATTTCTGAATATGCAGATTCATAAGACATCCAAAAGAATTATTCACACTGATGCTGGAATTAATTGAACTTATATGTTACTTGAGTGTAAGTCATAAAATATATATCTAAAGATTTCATAAGTTTGTGATAAGTCTTAAAGAGTTATGTCTGTTTTAGTATTATATAGAATTGTGTCAAAGATAATTTTACATTTTATGTTTTTGTAATTTCTTTTTAATTAAGTTGGTCCTGGTTTTAGAAGCTTTGTTGGCTAAATTTTAGAATATCTTCTTTTGATAGAAAAGTTGTAACAAATTCTATTTTTATGTTTCGTTGGCACGACCTTTCAATCAAGTAAAAATTCCCCTATTATCTTTGCTATACATTTTCTCTTTGGTTCATTAATAACAATGGCTATTCTACCCTCAATATTACTGCGGTGAAATGAGGTAGTTAATGATTTGTCCCTAACAATCTAAACGGTGGACAACGGTGCAGTACACGTCATTTGTTCCAAGGACTGTTAATTTAAATATCTAACGACTATGACATATATCATACAATAGTGTCTAAATAAAAATTCTAAAAATTATGTATAATATCTACAATTATACAAAATCTATCGTGGAAGATTATGAACACAAGGTCTTCGAAACACCGTCTATCAATTTCCTCTTGTCTTTAACTTGCAAAGAACTACCTGAAAAACAATAATGATAATAAGGTGAGATGATGATTTCAGTGAATTTTCCTATCTTATAGATCCACTCGACTCTACATGATTTCTAATCGATTCTTAGCTAAAGTCTTCATCTTTTGTTACTTGGGAACCACTCACACACGTAACTAAGACTTAAACAATCACGAGATATTTGCAATGTAAGGAAACACGTCACTTGAGTTCTCATAACTCAATAAATTACTATTTAAATTCACGAAACATCGATCCCCGACCGGACCTACATCCAGGCCAAGGCTCGGTTCACACATGTTTGTATAATTCGACTTTCATGTGGATACCGGGTTCCCCTATGGGACTTGAATCCACTTTTAAGATCTGTCAGTCGTATGGGACTCAAACCCACTTTGAGTATCTTTCACCATATGGGACTCGAACCCACTTAGGCGTTCACGTCTCTACGAGGCTCGAACCCACTTTATGAGACAACCTCCTTTATGGGCTCAAATCATTTATGAGGTACGAATCATGGGTGCCACATCCCTAATTTTTTTCTTTACATAAGCATTACAATTGGGGTGTGCATGTTCAAGGGTACTTCCGAATACGTGATTAGATTATACATACATCGTGATTGCTCTCATCAATCACTAGATGATGATATTCACCAATTCTCATATTATCTCATCAATACTAAGTGATCATATTCACACATTCTCACATTGTTTCACATGTTCCATACAGAACACATTAAATTATCATTAGAGCGAACATAATCGGTCTTGACTTTTTAGATCTCTGGACAAAAAATAAAAATTGAGTCCTAATAAATTTTTTTGAGTCCTAAACTAGTTAAAAAAATTATAAAATCTTATAAATACTACATCAAATTAAATTCACTCTAATCAAGGAGGAATTAACATGCCACCCTCATTTTATACATGACACCCTCAGTCTTTGCACTTTTACGAAACTGTCCCTGTCATATAACGAATTTTTGAAATTTCTGATGTCGTACCGGAAAATTCATGAAAATATCGGAAATTTCGTTGATTTTCTAATTTTTTTACCATGCCATATGAACTTAATCGGAAATTTAAAATATCCGGTACCAGAAAATTCAAATTTCTGGTGTATTTCATCTTTATAAGAAACCAAAAATTTGAAATTTCCCGTGTGAAAAAAATCGGAAATTTAAATTTCTTTATAGTACTAGAACTATTTTTTATTTCATCTGCATACATATGGAAATATAAAGTATAACTAAAATTTTTGGTACCCCAGAAATTTTAAATTTTCGGTTAAAGTTTTCTACCGGAAATTTGCATAATTTTCGGTACATGTGCTAGCTTTTAAAATTGACAGAAATTATTAAATTTTTGGTGAATCGCAATCGGAAATTTTGAAATTTTTGGTTAATCACTACCGAAAATTTGTAGAATGTAAAGAATTTTCGGTAAGCGACCAAAATCGGCACCAGAAATTTGCTTAGCGTATCGGAAATTTTGTTTTTTTACTCCTTTAAACAATGATAAAATTTTATTTTTATAAAAATGAAAATTTTAGAGTAAATAGTAAAAGGGGTATTTTGGTAATAATGAAATTTGGGGGTGAATGTATAAAAATAGGGGTGTCAAGTTAATTTCTTCTAATCAAGTTGTTCAATTTTTTTTTAATTTTAATAATTTGATGGTTAAATTATAGTTTTGGTCTCTCTATATATATATATATAAAATTGTGAGAGGGAGACTAAAACTGTTTAAATTTAAAATAGAGGGGACTAATTTTCATAAATCAGATGAATTTGTCATGTTTTACCAGTAACTTGTCATTTAAAAAATAAAAACATCACTAATTTTTAGTGCAAAAGTATGAGAGGAGTACCAAAACTGTTTAAATTTAAAATAGGGAGAGTAAAACTGTTTAAATTTAAAATAGAAAAATCAATTTCGTGAATCAGATAAAATAGAGGGATCAAACTTGTAATTAAGCCAAATTTAATTTATTATCTATTTAATTATATTGACTTAATAAAAAATATTGAAATTCTTAAATTTTTGTTTATTATTATAAAATAAAATTTAATAATATATTTTTTAATAAACTAAATAAAAAGTAATAGAACTAAAAACAAATAATAATGTATTATATTTTATCATTTAAATTTAATAATAAATAAATTTAGGGTAAAATGCCTTATATTCCCTGCCATATGAGTGTGTTTCTATTTACTATCCCTTAAGAAAAAAATTATTATCTCCCCTCAAAAATTAAAGATTCCATCTTAAAAACCTTGTTCCAATTTTTCAGCCAAGATTTTGTGACATTAGCCTATGTGGACATTTTCATTTGGCTGACTGTGCATTCTCTGTCACATAGTCAGTCATTTGTATAAAAGCTATTGTTGACATAATACTTTTCTGATTTCATCCCCTTGAAAAGTTATGGTTTTTATCAATCAAAAGTAGCAACTTGGAGATGACGAAGAAACGATCCACCACGATGAAGAAGCAGACCAAGTAATCTAAGCAATCTAAGCAAGCGAAGGAAGATACTCAAGCTAGTCAATCGAAGAAATTTTTTCAACCGAAGATGCACGAAGAAGATGCAGAGGCTTCTGAAGCTCAAAAGGTTCATTTTTATCAGCGTATGGTTCATTTTCACAAAATGTAGTTGAAGGTTAGGTTTTCACTGTTTTCCATTCTAATTTCAGAATAAGCAAGTCTTCAATGTTGTATTCCACCAGGGAGGAGAATTTGTAAGATCAAATGATGGGGTTACGATTTACAGGTGAGGTGTATCGAATATAATTTCTGGGATTCACATTGATAATTTACAATGGTTGGCATTCATAGGATGTTGACTGAGTGGAGTTACATGCAAGGGACATATAGAACATGAACTAAGATAATAGAAATAAATGATAAGTTTTTCCAGATTAGGAAGGATGATGATTGTTACCATTTCGTAGCATACGCTTGTGCGAATGAAGTTGAAGGGGAAATGTTTATAGAGCACAATGTAACAAATATTGGAGTCTCAGTAAGTAGTCCTATGTGTGTGAATGAGATAGTTGAGATATATAGATGTGATGAAGAGGGAGTAGAAGGGTTGGGGGATAGTGAGGATGAACGTGCCACTTCTATCCAAGATGGATTTGAAGGTATTGATATCACTATACCTATTAATGAAGCAGCTTCACTTGCTGGGTTTTTGAGTAGATCCAAAAAAGAAAAACGGGAAGATGATGATTATGTGAGTGATGAGCTAGATAGTTCATATCTGAATATTTCTGATGATGAGAAAGTGCCAAAGTTTGAAAAGTTTAGGAAAGAGCATTTGAATAAGAATTTTAAATTTGAGTGGGGTATGGAATTCAATTCCCTAGATGACTTTAGAGAATAAATACGTGAGTGGTCAATATTAAATGGTAGGGAAATTACCCTTGTGAAAAACGAGAGCTATAGGGTGAGGGTTGAATACATGGCCAAATGTGAGTTTTCAATGCTTTGCTCTAAAGTGGGTCATAAGCACACTTATGCTATAAAAACCATATTTGACAAACATACTTGTGCTAGGGTTTTGGATAACAGATCTGCAAACTCAAGGTGGGTGGCTAAGGCTGTAGTCAAGAAGATGCAAACATCTGAGTGTTAGGATCTGTGATATAATTCGAGACATGAGGCAAAATTATTCTGTGGGAATCATCGTGGGTAGGGCATGGAAGGAAAATCACATAGTAAAGAAGATAATAGAAGGAGATGCAAACAAGCAATATGCAAACTTGAGAAGATACGCAGCTGAATTATATAGAGTGAATCCTAGGAACACCTTGAGCATCACTGTTGGCAGACCAAATCCCTCCATACAATCTAGTTTTAGGTCTTTTTATTTTTGGTTTGATGGTTGTAAAAAGAGTTTCATTAATGGTTGCAGACCCTTTGTTGGAGTAGAT